GGAGGGGTGATAATCTGGGCTTGTTTTGAAACCACACAACCTGAGCACCTTGCAGGCACTGAGTCAAACCTTAAGTCGTCTGTATTCCAAACTCTTCTAGCATCAAATGCTAGCTTCAGCTAACATTCAGCTAACCCTCTTAGGGACACTAAAGTCCAGTCTACGTGGGCAGGGTCCTCAGAAGATTGGGTAGGCCGGAAGTAAACGGCGGTCTAGCCTTCAGATTTGCGTCACTGCTGTCTCGGTGGAGTTTAATAAACTCAGCTGTCTGCTCCTTGCTATCTGAAATATAACATGACACTGGCGTAAATTCTCGACCATCTCACACTTCTGTTTAATCAGTTTTCTGTTTGACGTTTATTCAGCTGTGTGAAAACCAAGGAGGAACCCACCCGAGCGATTAATAAAGTTTTATTTTATCTAATCAAATCAATAAACTTTAATCTCAGCCAAACCGATTTACTCACGAACAAATAAAACACTGAAAAAAGCCAAACAATAACATTTTTAGTTTATCTAAGTGACTTATATATCACATTTAATCTGAGTAGCGAAAGACCACGGTGATCTGAACATCATGTGCCGGGAGTTTGCTGTTCTCGCCGGCTCTAGTGACCCTCGAGCTCCCAGCTAGCTATCAAGCTGTTGGGTAACAGACGTCGCCGAAAACGTCGGAGCACTTTTGCAAATATGTGATATCTTGATAAACCAAGCAGATATATGAAGTTTACACAGCTACATTCTCGCCTGAAAATATGTTAAAAGTTTATTTTGTGACCCAGAAAGAGTAATAAGAGTAATATTTAAACTTAGAAGCAGCCGCCATTGTTGAAAACTGGAATTGGCTGGGCCGTGCTATGAATTCTGGGATATGGTGGGCCACAAAGGATACACCCAACCCATCCTTCAAATTCGGGGAAAAGGAGGATGCATTTGTCAGCTGCATTCGGAGGAGTCTACGAATTTGGACAGCCTTTGTCGCATTGCTGTGACGTAATCGGTCTACAAATGCGGCCTCGGGAGGATGCAGCCCATTAATTTGGAAACCATTTAGGGACACTCCCAATAGGGCTTAAAAAATCTGGGACTCTCCACCAGTTGCTCTTGGAACTGAAAAAGCTCCTCAGCTGACATGTTAAACGTCTTCAAGAAACTTCAAGAAGTCCAGACACTTTTCTTTTCACCCTCCTTAGCTTTAGCTAACGCTTGTCCAAACTGGATCTTGCATTAAGGCAACAATCCCAAACATATCAGCAAATCTACAACCGAATGGTTGAAAAAGAAAAGAGTCAAGGTGTTGCGATGGGCCAGTCCAAGTCCAGACCTCAACCCGATTGAAATGCTGCAGCGAGCTTAACAGAGCTGTGTATACACAAATGCCCACAAACCTCAATGAGCTGAAGCAACGCTATAATGAAGAGTGGAAGAGTTTCTATGGGCACTGCAGTGTCCACAGAAACTATTTATCGTCACATGTAACACGTTTGATAAACATACAATGACAATACAAACAGCTGAGTTATTTAAACAGATGTAAAACTGTGGTGGGGTTATGCCATGCTCTGTATAAATTAGCCCCAGTAAATGGCAGAAAGTGTTGTAGTAAGATCCTACAAGGTGATGTTGGTTGGTTTTTTTAACCCTTCACTCAAAAGATAAACAATTGCTTATTTTGGGGGAAAGTACTAGGACCCTGCTGAAGACTGAAACCAAACTGGAAAGCGAACTTGGACCAGTGATCTACCATTTATCTGTTCACACGTCTATATTTTTTCCATATTCTAATTATCCTAAGTGGTTCCCTTTTTGTCAGTTTAATTGCACAGTGTCAGCTGTATCAGCTACTTTACACCAAATGACGTTTTATAAAGCTGACGCAGTGATTCTCAAACTGTTAAACTGAAGCAGCATCTGCTTACAACAACAAATTGTTTCATAGGCCTGGAGATATGATCATTTCAGACAGACTGTGAAATGCCAAACTCCACAGGACTCACATTAAAATAGGCAATGAAATCTATATTTAAGAAGAGAAATTGTATTTAACATGATTTCAATGGCCCATTAATCATCCTGTGACCACAGAGTTTAGAAACCCCAATCTAGATTAAATTAGACAATAAAAATCTAAGATAGCTACACGATAACTTAGAAAGTATTTAGCGGTGGTGAAAGAAAAGTAAAGATTGGTGTATTCAGCAAGATCATTAGGGCCTTTAGTTTTATTGTATTGCTGAAATATTACAATCGAAATGATACCAGTGCTTAATTAAGCAAGTTATATTTATTTATTTTTTATTGTGCAGGCTTACTTTATTTTCTATATATTTCCTAAGTTGTTTTTATCTATATTTATTAGAGTGTGGTTACCTTGTAGTCATACACCCTCAATGTGACCCTCACCTTTGCTTCAGCACATTTTGCCTATCTCTGTTTTTTTCAGTCATTATCCCCCTGCAGATCTGTTAGAATCTGCCTGTTTGCTTTCCTGTTGGTCTGGTAGCTCGCCCATGTGCCTCTGTGTCCATGACCAGATGGATGTGGGAGTCTGCTGGCTAGTGAGCCAACTACAGTGACAAACCCTGCTAATGGAGACACCAGAGGAGGCTGTGATACAGGCTCTATCAGGTAATAGAGCAGCGGTTAGCCTGGCCAGTTAGAGGAAGAGAGCACAGGAAATCAGCAGCACAGAGGGCCCTTGGCTTTGTGAGAAAGATCAATAGCTTGTTTGGATGTGGTTCCCTCCTCCTAGAGTGCCAACCTTTACCCCTCCGCATCCAGCATTGTGGGGAAAAACAGATGGATACATAGACACACACATGCACACACACGTAGATCAAAAAGGTTGTCTGTACACACTGGCCAGGCAGACATCTGACACATCTGAGTGCCCCCGCACACCCACCCCATTCCCCACCCACAATCCCCTTTCCTTACCCCTCCTCATCCAGCTTCTTTTGTTTCACACAAATGTTCATCTCTGGAGACTGGCTGACTCCACAGAGTACTGCAGTGTGGTGAACACACATTCTACAAACAGGCCTCACAATCTAGATACGCCTATCAGCCTTATGTTATTTATTTATTTTGCATATGTTTTAATTTTTGTTGTTATTCTGTAATATAGGTATTAATAACTGCGGTGCTAATATTTCTGGACAACTGTGTCGTCATTTCAATTTTTTAAAACTGGAAATTATTTTTAAGTTTGAGTTGGTTGTTCACACTTGACATGTTCAAATTATTACTTGTATACATTTATAAGAGAAGGAAGCCTGATCAGCATTCATATTCACATTCATCACATGACTCTATATAGAGGTCCATAGGATGTTATGCTAATGCTTTGCTATTATTAAAAGTGGCAGAGTGCATGGAAAGAGCCAAATGTCTGGCATGTGACAAAAATTTATATTTGTATCATGAGCCAGGTATTTGGCTCTTATCATGGAGTCTGCTATTTTAGGAATAGTAAGTATGGAAGGAGCACAGGCAACAGAAACTATCCCAAAACTATACCACCCTATAGGACTTATTTTTAAACAAAAAACTGAATCTGTCAAAACCAATGAATTCAAACAGCTGGATTAAATTACAGCACTTTGGTGGATTGGAGTACTAACATCCACGGGGTTTTTGTTTTTCTTATAGATCCGATATGTGGGGCTTATAATCTGCCATCAACAACTACCAGATTAAAACCTAAACAGAGAGGATTTGTGCTTCTACCGCCCCAAACTAAACAAGATTTATCCTCTTAACTGTTGACATATGATATTTCCGCTACAGTTGCGGTAGAATTTTGGTCTTAAAGCCCATGTGCAAAGTAAATAAACCATGAAATATGGTCTACGTAGCAGATAGCACCCAAATATAGCAATAAAATTACTTTGCATAGACTTTTCCCGTAATTTTAATAGAAAAAATTTGATAAGTGTTTAAAAAATTCAGAACACATTTTTGGATACAGTAAACATCTGCATCTATAGAAGCCTGTTTGAAGTTGATAGGGACAGATAGGTCATGCAAGAAGAGTGAGGCGTATTTACAAATTCATATATGACATATATGTTTACATCTATTTTACAGTAGCAGCTCAGTACAGTCTCTTAGGTGGGGTCTGGGATTTTAGGATTCCTCTGTAGGCTACTTTCACTTATGTTAGCCATTATGTTGTCCACTGCTACCAAGACAATTACAGGCCGCGGTAACACTCAGTAAAGTCAAAACACCTTCATTAAAGCCCTTTCCGCGTCCACGAAGGCTCCAAACGCCATTCGTAAAGCAGCCGGAGGCGGTAGGGGCTCTTACCTGAGCTGTCCATGGTGCTGCAGTCCTCCTCTCTCAGCGGGCCCGCCTTCGGTCCGAGGGTGGCCGCTATGGAGCCTCCAAGTGTGCCGCCGCTGCTCCCTCTGCCGATGCTGAAGCTATCCCCTCCGCTATCGACCAGCTGCAAAGATTCATATCCATCGTAACTGCTCTTTTTCTTGTAGGCCCCCAGCAAGCTCATACCCAAAGGAAACAAAAGAAGGGAAATTAAACACAAAAGAACCCCAGAAGACGTAGAAAGCGACGCCGTCACCGCTGCTGCTGCCCGAGCTGCTACTGCTGCTAGTGCCTCCTCCTCTGCTGCTGCTGCTGGGTGCACCACATGTCCGGGGATGAGAGGGTGGCCGCTCTCCTCTGTTTGTGATAGAAAACCGGGTGGTCTCTCTCTCTCTTTCTCTCTCCCTCTCGCTCTCTCCTCTATTGCGTCCTCCTTTTCTCAGCAGCGCATTCTACTACGACGATTGTGCTACTGCTGTAGTCCCCGACTGAGTACAAGGGAAATCCACCCCAACTCACTCACAGTCGTCCTGCGTTAAAGCTGCACTCACACTCTCTAATAGGCTGGTTGAGACTAGAAGCATTCGTTTAAATCTGGTAAGTAATATCCCAAATCTTTCACTTGTTATATCATTAATGCAAAATATTAGGACAATTGTAAAGAACTGCACTTACTTCCAGTGTTTATGCTGGATTAAATCATATTAAATGTCCCAAAATAGTTCAAAATGCATGTCACGGTATAACAGAGTCCATGTCTTTAAGTGACTTGTTTTGGTCAAAACTAATAAAGAACCCAAAGGTATTAAAATTTACAATAAGACAGCAAAATATGGACTTAAAATGGACTCACATAATCAACAGATGATTTGAACAGTGGCTTCTTTTCTCCCAGTAAATCAGTTCATTTTTTAAGTGATGAAGGGTACAAAACTGTTGGATTTCCACAATCAAATGATGAATCGTGCTTGCAATGACATGTGCATAGTAGAGGCAGAGATTTGAATGGTCTGAGGTGTGTGTGTAGATGAATTATTGATTTAAATGATAATGCTCCCAGTGTTGCAATTGAACACCTGAATTTATTTAGAGCCGCTTTTGTTTGTGTAAATAAGGTCCAGATTAGAAGTCTGGGACCGTAACTGAGAACAGTTTTCATTTGACTCCTGCACTAAAAATGAACAGGGACTCCTGGCTCTGTCAGAATGAATAAGAGCAGGGGCACAATAGTGCCATGCTTTGCCACAAAAAGGAAACTCTTCCTCATAAAGATTTTCTTTTCTTTTTTCTTTTTTTCTTTTTTTGGACCAACTTGGATTTTAATAGCCATTAAAATTAGGCAGATTTGTCTCTTAGCTCCAAATTTGTCCGTTTCATTTTTGTGTTATGACCCCAAGTCTGTGTAGGACAAAGCACTGACCAGTGATGGCATGCTTCCTTCCTAGGCCTTGTCCCCTGGCAACAAAAACCATGCATGGTTCTGAAAAGAGGACATGAGCCTGGGAAACCCTTTTAGGAAAACAGACGGGAGCTCAAAGCGCAGCGGGAACGGAATGTCCAAAAAGGAAGAATGATACCCCGGCCATAACCGGATGCAACGTGCTGCTCCTGCATTGTTGCAAAGGAGCTTCCAGTCTAGTTCCGAACCGTGCCTTCCAGTATTTAGCCAGTGATGCCCTGCATGTTGAGCACACAGCAAGCAGGTGCAGTATGAGCTCTTTGCTTTGTCATTACACATGAACTTAAATACATATTTGTAGCATGTAATGTGCTTTAATTCATCTCGTTGTGTTTGTCTTTTTGTCTGTTCTGTATTCAGATCTGTATTTTATAATATATAATATAATCTGTAAAAAGGTTTTCTGGCTTTTTTTAAAAAAAACTCACTTAAATTCAAATTTTAAACTGATTATATGTGTGTGTGTGTGTGTGTGTGTGTGTGTGTGTGTGTGTGTGTGTGTGTGTGTGTGTGTACATGTTTAGACACCTTTGTGAGGACAGACAAATGACATGCTACTATATTTGTGGGGACCAACATGGGGACTAAATGTCCGTTCCCACGATTTTGAAGGCATTTTTCAGACTCTAAATTTGGTTTTAATGTCAAGGTTACAATTAGGCAAAAAATTATGACCACCTCCCTAATAGTATGTTGGTCCCCCTTTCCTGCCAAAACAGCCCTGACCCGTTGACTCCACTAGACCGCTGAAGGTGTGGTATCTGGCTCCCAGATGTTAGCAACAGATCCTTTAAGCCCAATAAATGGTAAATGGTAAATGGCCTGTATTTATATAGCGCTTTACTAGTCCCTAAGGACCCCAAAGCGCTTTACATATCCAGTCATCCACCCATTCACACAATAAGTTGTGACAAGGGGCTTCCATTGATTGAACTTGTTTGTCCAGCACATCCCAAAGATGCTCGACTGGATTGAGATCTGGGGAATTTGGAGGCCAACTCAACACCTCAAACTCCTCAAACCATTCCTGAGATATTTTTTACTTTGTGGGAAGGCCTTCTTCCCATAGTGCATCCTGGTGCCAGGTGTTCCCCAGGTAAGCAGCAAGCACAAACCCAGCCATCTACATGATGTAATAGAAAATATGATTCATAAGACCAGACCACTTTCTTCCATTTCTCTGTGGTCCAGTTCTGTGTCCATTGTACAGTGACGTACAGGGGTCAGCATGGGTACCCTGATTGGTCTGCAGCTATGCAGCCCCTTACGCAACAAACTGTGATGCACTGAGTACTCTGACACTAAAGTGAGCTACAGTAGCTCATCTATTGAATACATGGGCCAACCTTTTTGCTGTGACGTGACAGTGCTAACCACCGCACCACCATACACCTCTTATATTGTTTTCCATTAAATTTTAAATGACATGGGAGAAGCCGCTATTATGACCTTCTGGGAATTCATTTCTATTTCCACTGTACTGCTATATGGCAACTGCTGTAACGTGAAAAGAAGCTGTATCACAGTTTATAATGGTTTTACCATTACCCTCAAAGGTAGTTTGAAGATTAATCATTATCCCTATAACAGTTAAAGCAGAATCCAGGAATCTGCTGCATCAGCTGCACGACTCTGCTGATAAATCAGGTAGCAGACCTGAATCAACTGCTGAGCCGCTGTTGCATCAGTTCTTACATGTCTGAGTAAATATTGTCGCTGCTGGAGTGTGCATTGCTGTAGCTTTCATCAGCACTGTCATGAAAATCTACAGAATGATGCTGCCTGTTTATCTGACTTTCTCTTCACTTAACCATAAAAAGCCTTAAAGCCCTTGTGCATACAATTTATACTGAGCCATAATGAAACCATTTGCGCCTGTTTGCATTAAACAAGTCCTCTAAATCCTGAGGGGTGACTATAACATCCTGGTGCGAAAGGTGAAGCAGTGGTTAAACATCAATCCACGCCAAGTCCTGTAATCCGCTCACGTGGTGTGCATGACGTTTGGTGATGTAAAGGTACGCTATTGGATCAAAACAGAGGAGCCTTCCTCTCAACAAGAGCGAGCCCTCGGTGATAAATATGGTGCATGTGATGGAAAATACATAGCACCCTTTCCTCCTACAGCATTATTTAACATCGGTGCTCTGTTTCTTGAAATTTGTCCTGCGAGACTGAATTGAGGACGGGACATACAGGATGTGCTTTTAACTGATTTCCTGAAATGCAGTTATGGTCGAAATCACCTGCCAATAGAAAAATCTAAATACTACTAAAAAAGAAAAGTGCCAGTCCTCGTGACGTGAGCCAGTCACCTCAGGTCGATGCCACTACGAGCAAAGTAACAATAGCTGTGATTTTCTTGCAGAAGGGACACGATGTCTTATATGCAAAGGGGGGAGGGAAAAATCGTTGCCCCTGACAGAAATAACCCAAATGATGTCATTCATCCTAATCGTGAGCGCATCTTGCAAAATATAGGCCAACTGCACAGAAACAAGTGTATTTTAATTTGTTTAACTCTAATCAATCCTTCTCTTATGCTAACTGGGAGGAAACATTTCTCCTTGGAAGCGAAATCTGTCCACCGAGCAGGGATGAACTGTCAGGGAAGTGGCCACAATCTCCGGAGGTAGATATTATGTAACATCCACACACGGATCGTGATGCTCTCCGCTTCTCTTCCTGCTTTGAGGCAGAGCCCGAGACGATAAATTGTAATTCTCATAAACTCAATCAAAGAGTGCGAATAGAAAATCCAGCGGATGACTTTACCTTTCTGAGCGCCTTCTACCATCCTCCCGGGAGCGCCGTCTTGTGCCGAGGTGGTGATGCGCTTTGCGCTCTGCTCACAGACACCGACCTTTGATTTGTCATTCGCTGCCAGTCAAAGGTCAGTGCGTTAAAAACGCCCCGTGAGACCTGCTGTCATGTAACAACTCCCCGGTAACTCCAGGTTAACCCGTAAAAAATGACAGAAACAACAGGAGGCTACGGCATCATCATATAATCACATTTTGGAACATGATCAACAAACAAAGTCCCGCGATGGCGATTGGTAGATCTGTAGAAGATGTGGATGAGTTAAAGACGAGGCGGTGGTGGGAGCGTGGATGTTCGTGAATTTGTACAGTAGAAACTGCGCCGCTCAGCGCAACCTGCCTGAACTGAAGGGGGAAAACCCGGAGTGGACTGCACGGAGAAGCGAAGGGCAAGGACAATGTTTCCGTACCACACAAAGATGCGTTCAATAATTGTAAAAATCTGCATAATTCATAAATTCATAAAGCAGATTAAAAAAAACAAACAAAAAAACCCCGCAATAGTCACGAGTCAGCTAAACGACACTAAAATGCAAGACATGCTTCAGATTTGGCACACATTGCAATCAGTGGCGGCCCTAGCCTGTTTGGCGCCCTGGGTGAACACACCCTCTGGCGCCCCCTCCCCTCCCCCACCACCACACTCTCTCTCTCTCTCTCTCTCTCACACAGACACACACACACACACACACACACACACACATTAAGGATTGTCCATTGACATAAAATTGGTGTCGGAACCATACTGAATTTCACCAGAGAAACATACACACACACATATGAAGAGAGAGAGGCATAGTATGCAAACGGCTACCAAACAGCCATCATAATTTGTCATACAATGAGAACAGAACAAATCAACAATTGACAATGACTAATTAATATTAAAATCTGTAACATAATGTATTGTTTGTGTTAGGATGCCTGGGTCGTTGACCCAGGGTTTTTGAGTTTACGATATTATTTATACTGTCTAGTTTTTGGTTTCTTTGAGTTCTGTCTTATGGCTTATGTCTCTGTCTTCTTTAGTTGCTCTGTCTCCCCTATCACCTGCATCCCCTTGTCTAGTTCGCGTCTATGTGTATCTTAAGTTCCTATATCCCCTTGTTCAGTCAGTGTTTGTCTGCCCTGTTCACACGTCTGTTCCCTTTGTAGTGCCTGCATATGAGTCTGTGTCTTTGTTCAGTCTGTGTTATGTGTTTCCTGTTTTACTTTGAAAGTCCATGTCTGATGTTAATGTGTCGGGTTTTGCTTCCTCTTGTCTCGTTAGGCCTGATTTGCCCCAGCTGTGTTTCCCTCCTGTTACCCATTCCCTGATTGCTCCCTCTGTGTATTTAAGCCCAGTGTTTCTCTGTGTCTGTGTTGCGATCTACCGTTTTCTTGGCTGTGTGTTCTGTCATTTCTCTAGTTTAAGTTTGTTTTGAGTTTTTTTAAGTTTTGTTATATTTTGAGTATTAAATTAAAGCCTTTTTTGAGTTCACGTCTGTCTCCGGAGTCTGCACCTTGGGTCCTATTCCTGCCTGCACACAGCCACACCTAACAGTTTGGAGTTTAGTCTGTTACTGTTGCTATTTTAACCATTTCTTCTTGGAGCAACTGTAACCCACATAATTTCTTTAGGCATTAATAAAGTATTCTGATTCTGATTGTTTCAGGATGACCTGCCATTATCCAATGACACATTTGCTTACCTGCATCTTCTCCTCCTCTTCTTTTCTATTTTTTCTAAACTGAGCACCTGATGGATTTGAACTTTTCTTATCCATCTTCCATTGGTTTTAATTTTGCACTCCAGTATGAACACAAATCCCCCACATCGAGGATCACCACAACATAACCTAGCACACCTACACCTTAGTTCACAGATTCACTTTGTCTAAGGTTTATTTCTGGGATTTCAGACAACCCAGGATTCAGATCATGAATACATAATGGGCTTGGATTTACATCATTATGAATGAAATGTGCTCTATTTGGAAACAGCAGGGCCCCTCCCCTTTCGACGGGCTGTGTGTGAGACTTTAAATCATCAAACTGTAAAATATAAATTTTAAATTGTTATTGATCCCTTTATCCCTGGTCCTAAAGTGCATATTTATTTTCTTACTCTTCTTATATATATTGTTTGTTTACTTGCACTGCTGTAACTGGAGCCTCGTCGTCTCGTCTCTCTATATTCTGTACTGTAGCGGAGTTGACAATAAAGTTTTACTTTGACTTCAGCAGCGAGCAGGCGCACCGAGGGCTCTCGCGCTCACTTTTCGCGTACAGAATTTCGAAAAAACATCGGTGCAAATTATAAGTCTGTATCATAATGTCTGGTGTTTTCGTGTTTGTTGGTTTGTTTTTATTTTGCGAGTTGGTTATTGGATGCTGCTCCAGCCAGCCAGAGAATCCCCCGCCGCCCCGCCCTCTCCTCCCTCCTCCCAAGCAGCAGGCGCGCCCTTACTCCCAGCAAATGGGCGATAGAAAACCAATCAGTGCCTATGCCATTCCCAATATACGCTGGCATGACGTCGGGGCAGCATGAATACGAGCAATTTTTATTTTATTTTTTTTTGCCGATGCCCGTGATGCCGCCCCGGGCAACAATAATAATAATAATAATAATAATCCTCGTGTTTGGTTTGGTTTGTTGCAGGTGAGAACATTGTTCATCATCCAAATCTGAATCAGGTGTTCACAGTCGACCCTGCTGCGCCTCCCGTCGAAGGTAAACACAGCAGATGAGACGGTAATCCGCGACAGTGGAGAAGGCCTTTCACCCAAGCTCTAATTCACGTGGGGTTGATTCACAGATCAGAGGGGATTAGACACGATGGGAGGACAGAGATAGTATTCCTAAGCATGCTCATGTGGTTTCAGTGTGTGTTAGCGTTGGTCTTTTAAATATGCCCTGCAGCTGGCACACATTTAGATTTTGGCGTTTTGCTTTCCTCAGAGGATTTGAGAGATACAAGATTCACACATTTATATTTTCTAGAAAGAAAGACAGACAAGAAGGAAGAGACACTACCACAGTATAGACAGAAGCGTGCACTGTATTTAAGTCCTAGGAGTAGCTATTGCATAAGTTGTTGTGGTCACACAGCCCTCTTTATTAAGTAGAGAAACAGTTTAAAGAACGCACTGTACACACAAGGTGTGTGTTTGTACACCCATTATTGTCATTCATTTAATTATCTCCTAGGTCTGTTACACAATATTGCATGAGCTTAAGAAACGTATCTAGTTGTGCACAAGTGCATGTTGCCAAGCAAGTACTGGCTTAATCGCAGAGAAAAACAATGAAAGCTGACTGAATGAATGAAAGCTGGAAAAACAGATTTAACATGCCTAACATGTTTTGACAACACTTTATGAACACAGGGCAAAAACCCATTGCCACATCCATTCATTTAAGAAGCATTCAGTCCTACACAGCACAATCTAAACCCACTTCCCTCTAAGAGTCTGGATTTGTCCTACATTAGCAAACATGTATCAATTTATTTTGCTCCTTCCCCAGGCTCTGTTGCACTCTCATGTTTACTTCCTCTTTGGTCTTCTGGTTACAATATGAGAGTCAACTCATAATACTTTTAAATCAAATGTACAACATACCCATACAATCAAAACACAGATAATGGAAGAAAAAAAATTACAAACCTGGGATGTAAAACAAAGAGAAGCTCATGGGAAATGTGCTGCAATGAATAAAACAGGTGCTAATTTACATACAAGTTTTTAAAATGGTTGGACAGCACTAACAGAGCTACAACAAATATTTTAGAAACATACTTGATGATGGATGTGTTTTAGTTATTAGTGTGGCTAAATTACTGTCTTAGTCATCATTTCATAAGCTATTCTGTTTTGTGAATAATCACTGCGACTTTCAAACAATCACATGAAACAAAAAAAGCTACAAAGCAAAGTCTGCAAAGACCTACTATATTTTGTTCACCCTGCAGCACTGATTTATACATTCAAACAATCCAGACATGAGAACATCTTTGCATCTATGACCATATCAGAATCATAAAAGTATTTAGCTGAACAATCACTGCAAAATCATTGCAGCATACCAAAAATATCACATTTTGGTGATCAGAATCTCAAGGCAACCTTATGGCATGTTTTAAGGAATGTAACAATACTGAAGGCACTGATCTTCATCCCAGTGCCGCTGAGTCACTGTACAGGATTCTTGTACAAGTCCAAAGATGACTGCAGACCAAAGTTAACAGCATTTCAGCAAAAAAGATTAGCAGTTTGTTACAGCTTGCACTGTCTGTGTAACTGATGGCTATAGTGTACAATCACAAATACATTTAAATAAAAAACTGTTCTGTATGTAACAGATGACTTTGCATGTAGCACACAGGCTTTAACAGGTTTCTAGTGTATAAGAAAAAAAATGACTCAAATGATGTTTTCATATAAGGGGCGATGATGAACTTTACTATTGCTCAGTTAAAGCAATGGCATGAGAATATTTACTCTTCGTGTGTGTTTTCTAGGCAATAATGTGGTGATATTTTATGTTGTGATTTATATTTAAAAAACTGTAAGTGTTTTTAATCATGTGAGTATTATTTTCCCCCATCGTTTTTTGGTTTTACTATAAAAAAAAATCAGACATTAGTGTTTACTTTTTGCATATTGGCTCATTCAGTGGTTGGACCGGAGCAACTGAAGATCAAAATTCATGTGTGATAAACTGATTAATGAAAGTGTTGTGCAGAATTTGGATGTTTAAGCATTTTGGTTTTTAGCACACTTGAACGATCTTGAATGTTTTACTGTCAGGATTCTGAATCTGAATTTGTCACAATCTTCATTCTATAAGTCTTTGAAAATTGTCATACAATCTTTCATTTGGAAAACTGGACAGTCAATGAGAAACGTGTGTCAGTGACCTGGTCCATTGTTCTCGCATGTGCTGTGCCAGCGTGCCTGCACATGTGATGTGACAATAAAAAGTGATTTGATTTGATTTGATTTGATAAAGTTCACTCTTAATGGCCAAACCGAAAGCTGACACCAGGCCAGTACATAAAGGCACCACTGCACTTCTTCCCCCCCTTCCCCTTGGTTTTTTGTTCATTCGGGGTAGACTCATGGTGTCTGAGCTTGGCAGGTATCTGATGGCTGTGTGTGCATCTTGGTGCTGAGGAGAGAATTGATATAAGGCCAAATCCGGTCTGTCTCTGTACCGGAAAATGAGTGCAGGATTCCTTGTGACCTGAGTGAAGAAATAGGAGAACTAATGAGAGGAAAAGCGGGTTGTGGGTACAGTTCTTACATTATCTGGAGGCTGTACCACAAAATGGACAATTTAGAACAGATGCATCAAGTGTATTGACTTTTCTATTAGCTTACTTCCTACACTCCCCACATTTCAACTGAACTGACAATAATTTGAGAGTTGGCCATGTCATGCTAACTGTGACTAATGCAAACTTGACAATGCAGAGATGAAGTAGGGTAATAAGAAGTCACTTATTTCTAGCTCTGTGACCAAACATTCACACACATGCAACTGTAATCTCCAAAAGTTGATTCTGTTCATCTGGACGTAGCGTTTTTAGTGGGAGAAACGTTTCCAGATGTCCAGATGAACAGAATCAACTTTTGAAGATTTAATACCTGGATGATTGAGCATGCATCAAGACATACATGTAATGTTCAAACCCAAGCTGTATTACTTGTATTAAATTATCATACTTTATATTTCCTCTAGAAGCTATTTAAATATGACTATGATTAAACAAATGTCAAAAATAACAAAATATAAAGTAAGATCAAATGAAGTGCAAGTATTTACTGACTTGTACAAATCAATTACGGGTTTTGCCACATCTTTGTAATGTCTCAGTCTGGCCATCAGAGCCTGCGGCTTGTCGTCATCGTGCTGAATCAGTGGCTCTCCTGTGATGTCATCCTTACCCTGAAGAAGGCAATGCAAGGTTACAACAACGCAGCAAAGGCAAACACAACACAAATCAGTGAAATGACATTTGCAAATGGGATTGAAGCACAGTACAATGCACTAATTAGCAAACAACAGTGCATTTGCCTCCGCATGCTGCATTACGTCCACAATATGCAGTCAACATGATACCCATATATTGATCTTAAGGAGCTTACTTTCAGGAATATTATAGTCGACATAAGATAAAAGTATGGCAATCTGATTCCATTGTAATTAGTTCATGCTTACATGCAGTTGTTTTAAGAACATTTTAACCATAAGAAATACTCCGTAAAAACAACAATATCATATTTGTGAATCGCTAATGTGCACTGGAGTCTTCATATCTTCACGTCACACCACTATGAGTCACACAATGTTAAATATTGCATATTTAAGATAATGATAAGTCAGTTATATATAAGATAAGATAGTTGTAATTATGTGCTAACTGGGACTTTGGAAACTTAAAAAAAACTAAAGAAAACCAATCACAAAGCTGTGGTGGTGGTGGTGGTGGTGGTGCGGGAGTGTGGCAACAATCATCCCCCTCATCTGGTTTCAGCCTTTCATTTTGGCAGGTTTCCACCCTGTAGAAGAAAGGCACTAAATCCCTAACAGCTTAAAAAAACCCCACAATGACACAAAACCCGTCGGGAAGAAACATCCACACAAAAAATAAAAACCTAAATTCCAAACTATTTCAAACTTTGTGGCTATGCTGCCACTTCCAGGCTGCTGACACCTGCACTCGGGGAGGGTTGAAGCCCATGTTGTAGACTCTGCCGCTGGCTGGATGGATCCAGCGGTCGCTCAGTCTCTCCTTGAGAGTCTCATAGGGGATGTTTAGGCTGATAACCAAGTCTAGCTGATACAAATTGTTGAGGGCCAAAGCCTGTCCGAGTGTGCGGGGGAAACCTAGGCACAGTCAGGGAGAGGGAAGGGAAAACATGAGTCATCGAGTGGTCAACCAGGAAAAACCAATGTTACACACTGAGTTAGCTAAAAGACTAAAAAGTGAATGTGCACTTTTGAAGGCATGATCACAGCTCAGTCAATAGCATGAGTAAGAAACAATGTACACGTGAAATATTCTGTTTTACAGTTTCAGATGCTGTTATTTCCTCTTGCTAATATCACCAGCTGGCAGAAGATGTTTACAGTTTTCCTGTGGAATGGCTTGCAGTCATGATATTATATCAGGATTTTGCACTTGTGAATGAATGGGGTGAAAAAACCCCGAAGCTTTCAGTTACACGGCTTTTATCAAGCACCAGCAGAAATGACAAGCCAGCGCCTTTCATTCATGCTGCCAATGCCTGTGTCTAACTGCTGCACCTCCAATCACTATGCTTTCAAACTTCTGATGTTTGCAGACAACATGACCCTTATTGGGGCCATCTCAGGTGGGGATGAGTCTGCTACAGGGGGGAACTGACAGTCTGACAGCCTGATGTAGAGACAACAACCTGGAACTAAACGGTGTCAAAGCAGTGGAGACAACTGCGGGCTTCAGGAGGGGCTCAGCCCCTATTTTATGCCATGTTTTTGTTATGACACTTGCACATTAAAAATTTGTTTTGGGTGCTTTGATCTTTATCTGGAAACTTCTTCCTTTCTCTTTTTTTACTCAGAAACCACAAGCCAAGAAACCTACGGAACACAAGGAATCGATACAAAGTTTTTCAAGGACGTACAATGGCAGAAGTCAAATCTACAAATGGATTCTGTATTTCTAGTTCTGTTGGCTATGACAATGCACTTTTTTTACAGTTGACCTTAAATGTTACATTACACAGTGTCCCTGGTTTGTACCTTTCCTCTGTGTCCAAGAACTGACAGTTCTCGAACACTCCTGTTCTTTTGTTTGGTTAATAATGCACCGTTACAACTCTAACCACCAGGGTTAGAGCTGCCATGCCAGAGCCCACAAATGAATCACAGAAAAGCACTAAATCAAAGATTGCAACACAGAAAGAGACACAAAATACTGAAGACATGCCGAAGACTGGGAGTCTATAGTGCATGTATGTAGCTAGGTAAATGAAAGCATGACATGAACTTTGAATGGTAAAAACCAAATATCCAGTTGGCACCAGCAACACAGACTATCAAAGGCATGATAGAGGCATGATCGAGGAAATGCAGGCGTGTATGTCTGTCTGTGTGTGTGTGTGTGTGTGTGTGTGTGTGTGTGTGTGTGTGTGTGTGTAACCTTGATTTGCTTTCCCTCTTGCTCAATTATTTGTTTAGTGATCATGCTTCAAGGTTTGAATTGGTTTAACACCCACTAGCTTGTTTCGTCAATGTTTTGCATTTCTCTTGATGGCAGTGGCTAATATTAAACCTTGAAAAAGACACGGTAACCTGCAAAGTCAGCGCTTTATTCATGTAACAAGTTCTTCCAAAAGTATGAATATCCTGTATAAAGACTGCTATTAATGACTAACTGATGAAAAGTATGTGATTATTAGCATATGATTAGAATATCATAAAAAAGTGATCTTTTTTTTTGGGGGGGGGGGGGGGGTGAAAGGTAATGGAACAATGCTATTGCCTGTAAAGGGGAAAGTGTTTTTTACATTTTATTTTACCAGTGAAGCAGGGTACACACACTTGCAAAATCAGTACCTTAAAAGTCTGTGAAGGTTCTTCATCCAGGTCATCAGACCATAAAACTTTATTACTCACACATGTAGAATAGTGAGGAGAGTATTTTTTTAATCCCCTCAGATTTAAATAAAGCCAAAGCATATGACTCTTTGTGGTTAAATTTTGAAAATGCAGAAGTGTGTCTTTGCTTTCTTTCTTCTTTTTTCTCTCTCTAGCTTTCAGTGTCAGGATTTGAGGGGTGGCACCAAGTGGTGGCCAATCAGATTTGAAAGATAGCTGGCAGTTCCTAACACTGCCATGAGGCTGCATCATGAAAACATCCCTCCCAACCTCACTACAAACAATAAAGACAGAGTAGTGGGGCAGGGTGCTATATGTAAGTGTTAATGAAAAAGTAAAGCAAAGAAAAGAAAGAAGCATTCACTGTAACAAAAAACAACCCAGTTCTTCTTACCATCCAGCAGCCAGCTGTGACCGCTCAGCTGTTCCAGTCTGGGCAGCATCAATCTGGTCATCACATGGTCAGGCACCAGCATGCTTCTCTCTACATAGGTCTTCACCAGCAAGCATGCCTCTGATACACAACAGACAGGTGAAAACAGACAACATGTGTCCGTTTGTGATTCCAGATTCTGAAGTTCTTAAACAAAACAGGACAGGGCTTGTTGTGTCAGTGTGGAGGTTTATTTATTTATTTATTTTCCTGAAACATGGCAGCAAGGTTTTCTTAAGGCACATGTGTTTTTACTTAAGCCCTCCATAGTGAACTAAACCTTATTGTCAGTGTGAGCTTGGCACATGCTGGGAATTAAACTGACTGTGCTTTTGTAGCCACAATGAGGAAGTGCAGAGAGACACATGCACGCAAAAACCAAAAAAAAAGAAAGAAAGACAGAAAGAAAGAAACGGTTTTAGGCTGTTTGGAGAAACTGCTGGAGTTAGTGCTCTGGGTGAATTTGACTGAAATCAGATACAGTTGATAGTAACAATAAATGTCTTGCGCGGTGCAGTTTGGATAGAGGGCTAAAAGTTTACAGTGAAACAACTGTGGACACAAACAAATGCGCACAACTTCCTCCTGCAACCTTAGCAGGATTGGTATTTTTGCTATTTTTGCATTCGCGGGAGAAGGGGGGTCGTGAATTTAAGATATGCAGCGAAGAAAATTAAGAGTTGCATCAACTTTTCCCTCTGCGCGCGGTTTCTTCCTGTTTACACCACAGTATTGCCGTTTGGGTTGCTGTGCATATCCTACCTGTTTTTGCCGCTATGCCCTCTCGTAGAAAATGACCACTGGACAGATACTGCAGGCCAAAACTTTGCGCAATCCTCTGGGATATCGTTCCTTTCCCTGATCCCGGTGGACCCATGATAGCAGCTCGGAATAACTTGGCCATATCTTAAAAGCTACTGTGAAAACAAAAATTCTAAGATGCTCAGATGTCACTTCTGCAGGTTGTGCGTCAGAGACAGAGATAGGCTCACCTTTTAATTAAATTCCTCATCAGTTGCAAGCATGAGCAATCAAATAAGGTTAGGGCGGTTTAAAAAAAAAAAAAAAACTCTGCCAATGTAAATTTCAGCCTATCTCTGGAGACTGTGGATCTTTACGCAGACAGAGCCCACTTTCTGCGCACAGTGGGACTATCCTGCTCTCAGACTCGGATCAAGTCGAAACACCCTTTTTTCTTCAGGCTCTCTTATGGATACGTTACGCTACGCCTTCGTCTTTAAGACTAGCGATTTGTCTGCAAATGAATGAGGGAGTCTCCAGAACGCCCTATTTTACTGCGCACATTCATCCAGAAAAAATGCGGATGAGAGAACGTCGCAGGGTAAACTGGTTACTGTAGTTTTCTCTAAATATACAGCCCACAAACATATGTAGACTAATGGGTCACTCTAAGACAGAGAGGGGAAAGTTTACATTAATTTTATTATTATATTTAACAACGGCATAGAAAAGAAATACTGCTGTTCTATCCATCCATCTATCTGCCAATCTATCATAGCCCCGTGTTAAAATAATAATATTTACCTCACGTAGGCGGTACAAATACATCAAAATAAAATAAAATAAAAAAACAAGGAAAAAAGGAAAAAGATTATTTAAAAAATAAAATAATTATTGTCGGTCTTAAAAAAAATAAAAATAAAAAGTGGGTTTATTTGTATTACACAGTTAATTGCTTCGCAGTGGGAAGGTCACTTTAAACCAATGGTGAGAGTTCTGCTTTAAAATCGTGCTCGTTACCCCGCTAATCATTAAAAGTAGTTGGTTATGCTTGGATTTCACCACTTGTTGACAGCATTTTCAGCCGATCGGAGCCTTTACAACGCCGCTTAATTTCTCACGCTTTCGCACTGCTGGCATGAGGCGCAGAAACAAGCAAACGAGACGCCGTCATTCCGCGAAACATTTGCGCACGGGTGGAATCTAGGGAGTACTTGTTGCGAGCCATACGGCGGAGGCAGCGTCCCGGAGCTGTCAAATACTGCGCACAACCTTGAGTCTTCAGTGGAATAACCAGACTAATCCATCAGACCAGCAGCTCAGAAGATTAACCTTTTTTTCCTTCCTTTTAATTTTATTCTATTTTATTATTTTTAATTTTTTAGCTTCGGAAAAGTAGTTTTTGTCCGCGAAACCGGAAACCTGATTTTAAAATCACGATCTTTTTTTCTCTCGCTTTTTTTGTCACATGGCTTTGGAGAATTCAATAACAACAAAAAATGGCGACAATCACGTTGCTCTGTGTGGTCTTGCTGCGTCATTAAAAATATTCATGTAAACACGGGGCGTTAAACAGGGGGATTGCAGGTAAGCGAGCTCGTTGTTCGTCACACGTTAAATGCGAGTTGGATGCAATTAAAAAGAAATGATTATATTTAGATTCCACAGCATGCTGATTGTTTTTGCCCAGAAAAGGGGTGTGTGTGCAACGCTGGGCGTTAACGTTTGGCTGCACAATATTCACTGCGAACGTTGCACTTATGTGTAAATATATATATGTGTGTTTTTGCATCAAGTCGCTTTTTCACGTGCATATTTACGCTAGTGAAAACAAGCGTGCATGTTTGCGTGACCTGACGTAAATAACAGTGTTGTTTCTCTTTGGCCAACTTTTAATTTTTTTCTTCTTTGAGGGGAGAAGGCAACGACAAGCTTCGACAGTGTTTATTCCTCTTTAGTTCGCTTTACTGTCTTTACTCCTGGCCTCCCTGCTGCCTTCACTGTTAGTGGGTTATAAGCCATTCCTCGACTATTTACATTAAGGGTTTACGCAATATGGACGCGCTTTCATCACAGGGAATGTTTTTATAGTCACTACCAACAGCAGACGTCGCTCCGAGCCTGACACCGCTGCTCTGTCTAGTTGTTACACATGTTGCTTTGCTGTCCACGTCTGACACGGCCATTTTTATTTATTTTGTATTTATCTATTTATTTTTGGCTATAGTGCCCCTGTGCAGTGGGGCTAATGGAGTTGTTTACATGAAGTACGGAGGGCGGGCAGACGACGAGGAGGAGGAGCAGCTACGGCCAGCGACGCGACCGGACTGCTCGAGAGGCTTCTCGCGCCGCGCGCGCGGGGGAGGGAGGGGGAAGGGGAGGAACCCGCGAGGAGAATCATAACAAGTCTGACATCACTCGGCCTTGTGCTGGTACGAATAGCCTATGTACAGTAGGCAGTTTGTGTCGAAGAAGTCATGGCGGGAAGGCGGTGAGGGAGTGCAGTGTTGTTGTTTCAAGATGGGAAACGTTAGCTAGCCTTTGTGTGTGGCAAATGGAAACAAAGATGAAAAACCCGAGTGGTTTTGTTTTTTTTATGTGGAACGAGGACTACGACTAACTAAGCGGATCAAACCGCATGCGCAGTCTTGTGCATGATTAATTGCCCCCGCCCCCTTTTCAAGGCAGGTAAAACCCCTGTGAAAAAAAATCGTCTTTCCTTCTTTTCACAGCTTTCCACCGAGGCACCCGTGACTCTCACTGTGCAGCTCTCATACCTGAGCAAGGAAAAAAGGGTGTAGAAACATTATTAGGATATAGCTTAATGCATCGATAAGTGAGGGGCATTAGTTTGATTGTGCAGGTGGTAAAAAACAAAAAAGCCTGAATAAACTGACACACTACTGTAGCATCATCTGGCTCTCAGATGGATTTCATACAGAAGACGCCTGGATGAGGAGGATCCTGTGACTGTAACTGTCTGCAACTTTACACATGGTCCAGATATTTGTTTCTCTTAAACATATAGGTTGTTTTGTTTGCTTTTCCCCCCTCCCTCTGTCTGACTTTATTATTTTACCAGTTTTCTCATGTTTAGAGAGCTGAAGACCATTGGTGTAAAGGACACTTTATAAATATCACATGTTGCGTTACATGGTTGTTAGTGTGTAAATGAAAGGTTATTTCAAGTGATTCATTTGTAAGCAAAAGAAATTTGCAAAACTTGCTTTGCATGAGGAGAAAACGAGCTGCAAAAAATGCAAATGGAATGTTATCTTTGCACCTGCTGACCTACAGCAAGGATTTTATTGGTGGATGACAAAGTGGAGTGAAGTCTTGGACTGCTAGATTTGACAGGCTGCCCTGGTTCAGTTATCACAGTGCTGATGCTGTCCCCATCGAAGGTACAGTACTGTGATAACTGAAGGATGGCTGCCAACTTGACACTAGTGCAGTGGTCAAAGTGGCACATTCGGCTAACGAGGCAGAAGAACCAAAGAGAAGGTGGACAAGTGTGGGTATGTAAACGGCATTTGTTGTGATATGCTGAGTAATAAAGTTTGTAAAGGATGTCCAAGTGTCTGTGTGTGTTTTCATTTCCAAAATAACATCCACAGGTTGAATCTAACAGCACATTTGTAACAGTGTTCAGCACTTCAGCAAAAAGCCACAGAGCCAAAATCTGTAGTTTAGGATCGTCCTCGCTGAGTTATTTTCCCCAGCAGTACAATATTTATAATCTATCTCAACTTTTCAAAGGTCAGTAAATATTTAATCTTTATATCTAACAACACAAAAGCAGTTGAGTTCAGATGGATGATTTTGGTTCTTTATAGGTTTTTTATCTCTTGCGTGAGAGCCCACTGAACATTATTATCAAATATTGAAAAGCACGTTAGATAAGAATGCAAGCATCGTTGACCCAAACCAACTTCATTTGTATTTTGTTTAGTTCTTTTATTTTTTAACCATTTGTGGCCCTTGTTCGTCATTGGCAGAATCAGCTCTGTTTTTTCTCATTGTTCTTCTGGGACAAAAGTAAACGTAATCTTTACTTTTGAAGAAAAGAAACATTTACAAAAATCAGAGGGCAGAACCATCCCAGGCATGACGCAGTGAATTCCTTAGAAGCAAACAGACGCATTGTACTTACTTAACACACCCAACACAAATGAATCCTGCAGTTTAGCCTTCTTCTGGAATTCATAAGCACAAACTCAGTTTATGGAGGTTCTCCTAACTATGACCATAAAGGTCTAATAAGCATTTAAAACACTGGAAGCATGAATGCCTCATATTCACCACCTTAAATATGAACGAGCTTTGCATTGCTCGATCATTTGAGAGTGATTAAAAATAACTGCTCAAGTAGAAGAAGCTGTATTTGGTCCCGATCTGGAAACGCTGGTGGTAACTAGTTTCACATTGCTGCCAACAGGGGTCGCTACAGATCCATTATTAGTAGTCGTATTACTAGTATTATTATAGCGCTTTGTGGTGTGGTTGAAGCAGAAGCACACAAATGTTTCTGTGTTGTGTAATCCGTTTGTGAACCCTTATAAAGTAAAGAACTGCTGCTGAATTCCTCTGGACTAAAGCCGGGTTCACTTCTAGTGACTCATGGAAGACGTGAAATGACGTGAAAGTGTGGGGTTTTGTTGTTGTTTTGTTTTTGCTCAGTCATCCAGTTTTGCTAATAGAGGGAGACTACTCCTTCCTTCCATTATACTGCGTGAATAACAACACAACGGCTTTGAGCGAGCATCCATTTTAGTACGAACTACCGAGTTGTTGTTTTGGTGACTCAGTTTGCGCACAGTTGCGCTGTAATCTGCGATCTATCGATGCCAGTTCGCTCCAAAAAATGAATCGCACTTCTTTTTTTTCGGAACGTACTATTTTGAATAATGCAAGCACTGTTTGAGTCATGTCTGATAAACCGCGGGGTCACTCTGCACCTGTCCTTCGTATGTAAAGGGTACATGCTGCCGCTGAAGCTGCGGAAAGCCCCTGAAGAGTCATGATACTTATTTTGTTTTTCTCTCACGTTAACCTCAATCTGCTAAATCCCGCCTCGAGTCGCGTGTTTTTCTCACTCGGAGCTATACGTGCTGCATTGTGGCAAGGCTGTGTTTTGATAACAAAATACGCAACAACGAAAAAACCAAAACAAAAAAAACATTTAAAGTCGCTTTCGAGACGAGGACAGCGTCTTCCCATGACCCTCCACCATGAGGGAATTTCTCCTCATACTTCCTTTAATGTGTGGCAGTAATTGCGCTAGCTTGGATGTGCCGAGGGAATTCCCTCCCCTTCATATGAGCCACATACTTTAAAAAAGACGTCTTTCAGGAGCTTTCCTTTCTCCCTTTGTTGTTGCAGGAAGAAATGCTTTTCTTCTTCTTCTTTCTTCTTTTTATCAACTCTGATCCCCATCTCAGACAGTGTTGCATCAGTAGTTCAGGTAACTCACAGCTGATAACTGCTGCTGTGAAGCCAACTCTCACAGTTTCATTAATGTGAGAGGAAAAGGTCGAGATAAGCCTACTTTGGCTACGCTTTCTGCTGCTGCATTTTTAGCATTCATGTGCACTAGAGCAACATTTGATGTCCTGTAAATGCAATTGCATTCTAGCCACACAAGTGGAGCTTTGTGCTGTGAATAAACCATAAAAATATGTCTCCATAGGACAAACTATATCATTACTTGCTTAAACTCTCCTTATAGCTGCAAATGCATTTCTACATTTGTGTTTGTGAGTTCTAAACCCATTATAAATGCTACACAGAGGGGCTTAAAGTCAGTGTCTGTGTTTACAGGGACACTCGTGACAGTGCAGTTTAAAAATTCTGAAACACATATCAGTATCTGCACACAATCACCCAGCATTGCTGTTTGATCCTTTGTCTGCACTCAGCAGGGAAACTCCATTTTTCTCTGAGCGCTGATATCACCCAGAGACGATGACTCGCTGATTCTTAGCTCTAAGAAGACAGTTAGTCACACATTTCTGCACACTTCCTGGATTCTGTACCTTCCAAGGAAGCCTTTCTCACTAGTTACAATTGTAGGACACATGATTTTAGATGTAAACCATGTTTGAGTTGCTCTTTGTGTAATCACAGAGCTGGTGTACATGCCGGCTGCCAGTCAGATGATTGCAGCTACACCTGAAGGAAAACAGATAAGGGGAAGTGCTTGCAAAGGGAATGAAGTGACATCCATAGCTTGCAGGTATTTCTTTGGTATGGGAATGCACAGACAGAGAGGCCGTGAACAAACCACAATCAAAAGAACACAGCATTCGGCCCCTTGGTGTTAGTTACAAGAAAAACTGGGATATTAACGCATGCAATATTCTGGAAACACAATCTGAAAATAGCGGTCTAGAAGAAAGTGCCACCTACAGAAAGGCAAAGATTGAATGATAAGCCTCGCCGTCTGTACCACAGCAGTTGGTGAACTTGTACTTTACATAGCTTACTGTACATCTCAGCTTTTCTGCTGAAGTCAGGATGTTCTCCAGTGCTCACATCAAGTTTCAGCTAAAGGTGACTAAACTCAAATATAGCTAATCACAAGCAATGCAGACGAGAAATCTGGCAATATGAGTAGCAGGAGTGATGGAAACTAAGCCTCTGACACATGCACTGAAAGTGGGCTTTACAGTGAAATGAATGAATTCAAGAGATCAGTGATTCTCAGAACGCCAAGCTTTTGGTTTTCTTTTTTCTATTTTCTTTGTTGTTGTTGAGGGATTTAACTCTAAAATGAACACTGAGTGCTCATCATGGACCTTGAATCCAGGACTCAGTGAAGGGGATTGGGGCAGTCTCCTTATTGTGTTCTTAAGGGTTTTTATTATTATTATTATAGTGTCATTTATAGTATTTAAGTTCAGAGTTGAACTGAGAATATTAAGGGGGTATAATAAAGTATTTTTGAGCAAAGTGTCATCAACTGAGTTATGAAATCAAAAACATCAGTGTTGATACACTTCTATTAATTCTCCTCCTCTTTGCCGTCCTCCTCCTCCTCCTCCTCCTTCTTCTTTCAGCTGTTCCTGTAATGGCTGCCACAGCAGATTGTCTGTCTCCATCTTAGCCTTCATCCTTTTATCACACCAACTGTTTGCATGTCCTCCTTCCATGTACATCCACGAATCTTCTCTGTGATGCCCTTTTCTTTAACTCCTGCCTGGCAAATCAATCTTCTCCACACCCCCAAATCATCTCAACCTTGCCTCTCTAACATCCTTATAATGTATTAATTTCTTATCCTGTCCATCCTGCTCACTCTGGGTAAAAATTTTAACATCTTCATCATTGCCACTGCCTCCAATCATTACATCACTGCAGGGTCCCACAACCATCTTGTAAACCTTCCTTTTTTTTCTCTAGCTGCTATCCTTCTTTTTACATATCACCCAACACTCATCTCCACTGGCTTCACCTCTCTTGTGCACTCTGTTCCTTTGAATGAATAAATAAATAAATAAATGAATAAATAAATAAATAAATTTTTATTTATATAGCACCTTTCAAGACAGAATCACAAAGTGCTTCACATAAGATTACAAGTCATAAAAAGATTTAAAAAGAGAAAAAAAACCGGCATAAAATTAACCAAAAGCAGTTTTAAAAAGGTAAGTTTTGAGTTGTTTTTTAAAAACAGCTACTGAGTCCACAGTTCTTAATGCTTGGGGGAGAGAGTTCCACAGTCTAGGGGCCACAGTGGCAAAAGCTCTATCACCCTTAGTCCTCCTCTTAGTGTTTTTTATAGCAAGTAAGCCCTGATCAGATGACCTCAAAGACCTGCTAGGGACATAGGGCTGTAGCAGATCAAAGATGTAAGCAGGTGCAGTCCGTGCACAGCTCTGTAGGTCAAGACCAGGATCTTAAAATCAACTCTAAATTTAACAGGAAGCCAGTGTAACTGAGATAATAACGGTGTCACAATGGTCAACCTCAGTTATTTAATCTTATCCACCTTCACTTACACCACATCATGCATTTTCACTGTTACACCTGTCTCCTTCTCATTCACTACATTTCACAAGTAAATACTTTATGTATTTACTCTGCTTCTATTTGTACTTTAGCGCCATTACGTGCTTTTGTAGTAACTTAGATTTTTGTTTCATTAGAGACCAGTCAGAGTTTTTCGAGAAAAAAACACACTGTTGAATATCAAACCAGCGTTTTGATTGGCCCCTTAAAGGTGTGTCTCAGCTAAATGACCATTTTGGGGAATAATTAGTTAAAAGTCTACCTTATCATTTTTTAAAAAAGTGTGTGTGTGTGTGTGTGTAGGGGGTGGGCACAGCTTCAGCTAGTTAGCTAGCTAGTTAGTTGTAGGTAGTTCCATCTGCTCTAATTGCTGGAGCACAGCAGTTACAAGTGATGAATAATGAGTTTGAATACTTTAATATAATTCCCAATCTTTCTTTTTTATATAAATCTTTGCTCATTCACTTAACCTATAAGAATCTTTAAACGCATGGCTTGTAATGGACTAATTTTACAGTGTTGTATTGGTTCTTAGATGGAGAATCTAAATGCGTCTTCCATA